TCGTTTAATTAATAAAGTATTTTATATGTTTCAATAAATCGGCATCATTATTGTTTTCTATTTGCATGCGACTATATATCGCAATAATTTGATACACAAGCCAAATTAATATTAATTTATGTCCTGCATATGTATACTCGTATATGGTATGAGTGTGTACACAGAGTCTCGATTCGTCTACTAACAAGTGCGCCGGGTCGTCGTGATAATGTGTCGGCGCGAGCGCACGTTTCGTACCACGGTGTACCAAGCGCCGCCCGGCACCGCGCGCGCACCACAGCTGTTTTTATTCCGCACAACTAACAGATTAGCCGTAAAACAATTGTAGGAAACTGCATTTCTATGGTTGCATAAGCTTTTGTTGTGGCGTTATGATTTTAAGTAGTTTGCCTAGTTTCGCTGCGAACCCAAGGTTTGACTTAAAATTGTAATACCTTCTTGGTATTTGCCATGTACACTCTGTAGATCTCACAAATTATTTATTTATTTATCGTGATCCAAAATTTGTTAGTTCTAATACACTTAAACAACAATACGTGTCTTTATTTAGAATTTTTCCGAAAGAAAATCCAATTCCATTTTCGTATAATCCGTCTTTTATCCGTGTTGAATGTAAGCTCAGCCAGTGGACTATGACAGCGATAGCGCTTTCTTGTCCGAGGTCGACGTGTGTTTGCGGTGATTCAATGTTTGCCCTGAATGGTGGACGTAATCTTCTTTATGGTGTTTATTTTACGACGACCCATACTCACACAAGCGCCCGGATTTTTGTACAGAAATAAAACATGAGAGTTCTAAGAAGAATTTTGAAGACGTCATAAAATTGTTGTTACTAAGCTCGTAAACCCACTGTCTGTGAATTTAGTATCTCCGTTTTAACGATAACTTTTATTAAGAATGAACAAGTCCATTTACATTGGACTTCTTGATTATCCCCTTATGTAGCTGTGTGCTGGCTCAGATATTAATTCATCCATAATTCCTCGAGCAGCTGAAACATCAACTTTATTTCCTGGCCATTAAGTCGGGTTTCGATTGATAATGTTGTATTATTTGATATTAATGTACTACGCAAATTGTATGAAGGCCGTACATGTGTTTGACGTTGATGCATGTTCATGCTTCGAATAATATATTTTATTTGTACACCATTAGTTTGGTTTCCTTGTTTTTGCATATTGAGATATTGTTTAATTAGTAGTCGTATCACGAACAAATAAAGTTCTTATTTGTATCATTAATTCTATTTTTGAACGATGTATTTCGCTCGATATATTCGTAATTAATACTAAGAAATGCCATTACAATGGTAGTGTACAAGTGTTATGGCAATTAATGCGGTTACATAAATCTGCCTGATTGCGTTCCTTCTTAGATTTCTCGGTATAAAGTTGATCCATATTAGCAGTTTGTAGCTAGCTGGTAACATTAGCAACTTTTCCATTACTTAAGAGGTTAGGTAAGTAGTTTTACTAGAACCGCCACGACCATTCATTTTCGTTTTCCGTTCCATAAGTTTTCCATTAAGTTACTTTTCTTTTTTCATTATAATAAGTTTGAAGTAAAAAACAGCTCTTGAAATAATAAATGGGTTTTCCATATCTGTGATGCACATTTTAAGAGTATAATATTGACACAAAATACCCGCCTATTTATTTTTATTGCCATCTTAACAAAAGGCCAAACAATACACAGCTTCACCATCAGTACCATAAAAGTGACCCAATTTATGATCCGGTACCTGCTTGATCTATTGATCATGTACCGTCCCACACTGGCACAGCGCGAATTATCACACAATGACATTCCGTTCTGCGTATACGCCGGTTTGATGATTGATGTGTATTGTCAGTCAATACTGTATTTGTTATTGCTTACTGAGAAATGGAAAAGGTGAGAGAATGGTTCGTTCTTGATATGGCCTGTCTGTTTATATCAGTCTCAATGGCTTAGGTTCCGTGTTTGGTAAATAAAGTGCATTGGATTGGGATTAATCCGTACCCAAGAACCTGTTTGTTCCGGTTGTTATACTTAAAATATGAACGTTATGGCAATCAGTCATTCCTTAATGGATCGCGGAAGGCAGATGACAGTTTCCCATAAAACACTGGTATTCAACCGAATTTGCTTAATTCGGCGTTAAGCTCGACCTAGTTGGGATTAGGCCAGGAGAAAGGCAGAATTAATAAATCTTACCTCTCTTAGATAGGTCATCGTCCCGTCTCTGCAATTTTAACAAAAGACGCTTACGCTACGTATAAACCGAGTACTTACAGAGTTGTAAAAAGATCGGTCGAGTGTTATTCAACTCCCAGACTTGGGACTGCCTAGTTTGAAATTCTGTGCACTTAACTCGGTCCTTTTGTACGCGCAAAAAGGCGGGCCGCTTTGTAAAAGCATTTCTCGTTAAAAAGGAACATTGAATTCTCAAATATTCACGTATATTTTCTTGCATTTGTTTGGTAAGAGAGTTTAATGGATGTAAATAATGTGTTTGTTTTGTAATGAAAATTGATCACAATTAAGTCCCCCTTTTTAGGTGTAGACTATTATAATTCCTTTGCCTTTATTTTTTAGAAACAAGAGCAGAATTGTTACTTCTGTAAGTTTACAATCCTTTTCTTAATAACACTGATATAAGTTAGTGGATTACGAATTCTCATCAATGTATAGAGTTAATAAAAAAAAACTGCAGATGAGAAATTCTTGCAACCGCAGCTCAATACAATTGAATTTCATATCAATTTCTTTTCGAATACATTGAACAAGCGATTCTTGTTAGTCTCTGTATGTATGTACTGTCACAACGAATGGTTCGTATAGGTAACTAACGTAACTAAGTTTCGTAATTTCCAACATCTGCTAAAACCATCTTATACATGATTTCTAAGCCTGGTGTTTTCAAAAATCATGATTTCCTAGGACCATTATACAAATTTCAAGATTGACGCTCGTACATCACACGCTTTTGTTTTTTGTGAGAGAAATTCATCAAATGACTTCTCCAGGAAAAGAAAAAAGGGAGTGTCAGACTCTTACTAACTAAAACCCCCCCGCTCCTTCTCCTGCTCTGGGCCGATGTCGCGGTGCCTCGTTGCGCTTACCCCGCAACCCCGGCTGATTCGTACATAACGCTATGTTCCGATTTTAATCACGTTACCGACATTTATGTATTTTAAACAGGTTACATAATTGTCTTGTACAACTGCTTTGCTAATGACAACCTCATTTCACTACGACACTACTCATCTTTTATTTACTTTACTACAGCCGATTTAATATTCTCGCAACGATTTCTCGATTTCTATTTTGATTCATACTACATTTTTCTACCATTGCATAATTAAACAATTTATCTAATTGTTAGTAGTGATACAAACATTAAACTAACTATGTATGTATATAACTATAACTGTTTGTAAAAGGAATCTGTATGTGAAACTGATTTAAAAAGAGTAACCATAGAGTTTCTTGCTCGTTCTTCTCCATCGGAATCTACACTTTGAAACGAGCAAATAGCTTCACTAAGAGGACTGACCGACAGACTGACACTATATCTTACAAATTTTGTTTGACGTTCAAAAGTGCCTGTAAAGGTCTAATTGGAATAAATGATTTTTGACTTTTGACTTTTTATGTATCTATCTTACAAATGGGATTGTAACTTAGTGTACATGTTCCTATAAGAGGTATTCAAGCTGTTTTTCTTGCACTGCAAACTAAACTCACCCTACGCTGTTTGGCTGTACGGTGTATAAATGAAAGATAGTACTGGCGGAGAGCAGCACAATTCAGATATTTGAAACATTCGCAGTGTTTGTATCAACAATGCCCACGTGCAAAGTTATCCTATTAATATTATAAACGCAAAAGGAAAGTATGGATGGGTTTTTCTTACTTTTTTCACGTCAAATTTACTCAACGGATCCGAATCTCGAAGAATATTTGGTGCAGAAATAGATTATTGTCATGTCATGTATCTCTTATAACTCATAGCTAGGTTGTTGTTTACTCTGGTACTGTGCGCGAAACCTCAGCTCAACTAGCTAACTGTTTCACTTAGGGCTGATTTTTCAATGGTTAGATAAATTTACCTGGGGAATACCTAATTATGATGCTGTCGCGTTAGAATGTTTCTATAAGACAGTGACAGCAACAATTTTAGTCCTGAGATAACATATATCTGACTATTGAAATATCAGAATTTAATTGACAACAATTCGCCATATTTATCTGCCAACTAGTCACACACTTCCTCTATAAATTCTCTAAATAAAAATATACTTTTACTTCCCTAACTAGAGTCAGTATAACCAACTTAGTTAAAGGTGTTAAATAAGCATAATTAATTAATATTTAATGTAGTTGGTCATCCCTCGTTAATTATTTGAATGAAAGTTTAACCATAATTCGTTCATCAAGGCTTTAATTTAGTTATTATATAAACTTTTATTTCGTAACGGTATGTACAGTATGATAATGCCTAATTGTAATATGAAAGTCTGATTTGTTTAGTCACCAAGGCATAACAATACAATTACAAAATATAAATATGATAATGCTATATGAAACAGACCTACCATGCATGTCTTATTGAGTTCGATGTACTGTTTTTAAGGAAATCCTAGATGTAATAGCATATAATTTACATTTTTACTTTTCATAGTAAAAAACTTTCATCATGACTACGCTTTAATTAATTGACCGACAAAATCGAAGTGGGTGTCCAATGTCCATTACAAACTTCCTCTTGCCCATAAAGGAAGTGTCTGTCTGCTCGCATTAATCACGGGTTTTATTGGAACTTTCAATGAAACGTTTTCTTACTACGATAAAAGCGAAAGAGGATTAGTTTCGAAGAGAAATTCAAGTTCTGACTTGCTAGGCTATATATTTATTGAAACGGCACGTATAATGAAATCGTAACTTATAACATCAGATCAAACTGAGTCTTCACAAACTTAATACGGTACTACATAAATGGTTTTCTTTTGTTACAGAGGTGTATTTCCATGGAAAAGTAACTCATCGAAAAACCACGACGCCCCATCTTCAGTGGTGTCATGGCGTCTCTTTGGAAGCAAATCCAGTGGGAATTTAGCAGCGAAGACTTTAAATTCGGAAGCTCAGAAGACTTTAACTCCAGCGTCATCTGTAGCTAACACCCCTCATCATCATAAGCGACAAGGGAGTTCTGCAAGCGAGAAACAGTTTGAAGACTTGGTGGCCAGTTCAATAGCTCTTATACAGCATGACAGGTTTGTTAATTTGTCCACTTAGTACTTGAGTAATTAGATGTACGAATTTAGACCAAAGGTAGAAGAAACATAAGGATAAAATTATGTAAATAAAATAAAATTAGACGTCATTTCAGACAAAGTCCATAACATTAACAATTTAGTTAAAATTAGTGTTTAAAATTATATTTTTCTTTAAAACGTATCGAAAATTAATTAGCCAATGACACCAAAATATAGTGTATGACAAATACTAGTCTGTGTTCACTAGTCAAAATTTACTAACATTTGTACGACCTACGGAAATAACACAGACTAGACATAATAAAGTAAGAATCGTCTGTCGTAACTATGTAGTACAGTTGACCTGACATCTGTTTACCCACGCTTAGGCAGTACACGCCGTGTGATGTCGTCCCCAGCGAATAAATGTTAGTGTTCTGTCCCAATTACTAAGGAAAATGGTCGCTTAGCCGTAGTATCGTATGCCTCTACTAATTAATAGGAACTACTTGTAGTACAATGTTCAATGTACATTTATTTAGAACACTTGTTCATATAATATCCTCATTTCAAATAGATCTTCCACCATTAATCATCAAGTTCAAAAGACTCAACTAATCGGTATGATGAACTCAAACTTTCTACATAAAGTTCAAAGTAATTTTTAAGTTCATCAACATCGTGCTACTTATCTATTACCGGGTTAATGGCACTTTACCTACCTATAAACTTGATAAAGGTTCCACATATTATATTTATAGTTTATGGTAACACGGTTCAGGTTCGGAATTTTGGAATCAAATATGTTCGGGTCGTGTAAAGGTATAACAAGGAGGTCTAGTTCCAAGTCATTGACTTTAGTCATTAAAACTTTCTTTGAAGTATAATGTTTTGCTCCAGCCAGTGTTATCGTACTCATAGTTCTATCTTTCTCCTTCAAATGTGATAAGGTTTCGTAAGTTTCTTAACAAATAGTCCCGAACCTGTTGTTGTTGTCATTGTAAAGACATTTGATAACGTTCATCTTGTGTTTTTACAGTTATGTTTATCAGAAAATGAATAAATTGTTTGTGGTTCAGACTCAATGTCCAGATTAATAACTTGACCAATTCAAATTCAGGATTCATTGCAAAAAGAAAGCTATTTAGCGGCTATAGAAAGAAAAAAATATTTTTCGTCAATATCATTCAACCGTTTCCAGTCGCGGAATTTGGACAAAAGGCCATACAAATAGTGGTAGCTATCCATAACACCACCACAATGGGCGCCGCTAGTCGGTGACATTTCCGAGGTTACACACAGGTGCTATTTGACCGACATTGCTTGTCCCAATAAACTGTTTTCACGTTTTCGCGTCACGGTTCGCCGAAACTGTTGGCTAATTAAGATTCGCACTGAATTACTGAAATAATCTATATTAGGCCTCCAGTTTATACAGTAATATCCCTAACTCTCGGGTAGGCAAAGAAGCTTTATTTTCTAAATTAGTAAGTATATTCATTTGTGAGACTGTAATTAGATTACGAGTTCCAGAAAGAACTCTGTAATGTGGTCCTTTTGTATTAATCTACTCAATTATATAAGCCGTTATTTCAAGTTACTTATTCCACTTGTCTCGTAAATTGGTCCTTTGGTACGCCCATAATTATTTCAAATTTTCGTGTACGTTCCTCGAAACCTGTGCGTTAGTTTATCAGCAGGGACTTCTAATTTTCTTTATAATGTTTGTCAAAAGAAACGTTTTTGATTGCTATCGTGATTGATGTTAATACCTAAATAAAAACTGCGTGAGTGGGTGCGTCGACATGCTCCAATAGTTTCGACCCACCTTTCCTGTGCGTGCCAGGATATGTTAATCCTCCTAATTATGACGGCATAATGGCGGACCTGCTAAATTCCTACGCAGTGGAACACAATTTTTCGAGTACCTAGTCTTTATACTACCACAATGAAGATGATTTTTAATGTATTACAACCAAGAAGTCAGTTGTATATTACGTCGAACGTGTTTATTAATATTAGTGATATAGTATATTGAAAAGATAATCGTTCATTGAAACGAAAGATACGATATATATTATGTTGTCTATTCGATATTTAGCAATTCGTAATTTTATCATATCCTTTAATGCAATCTCTAATCATGTTAGTTGGAAATCGATTCTTGCACCGGGTTTTACCTAATTGACTTTTAAGTAATTAATAATAGCTGGTCATATTTTCCTTGTGAATGAAAAAGACTTAGTATTTTTTTTTAACATGACCATTTATAACGAGAGGACAGTAACTATGTGAAATATATCAATTAATTAACGAGTTATTTTCCATCTTCCATCACAAAATAAACAAAGACTGTTGCTTAACTTTCGCAAACAGGATTACTTGAGTTTAAGACTAATCAGTGAGCCCAATCACCGTTAATTGAAGCCATTTTGAACACGTGTCCAAATTCAATGTATCAGTCCTTCTAGACTCCTAGTCATCAAATACCCATGACCTGTCAGAAATCTACAAGCAAGCGCATTGACACTTGTAACAAGATTAGGTGCTTTAGTCGAAGGTCGGAGTGTACTCTGCATTGATAAGAACCTTCCAGTGTATCACGCAAGAAGCCATTGTTATAAATCGTATTAGCACGTGTAAACACAACTAGTTTTAACTCATTTTCAAATTATGTTACGGGAAATGAACGTGACCAATATTCTGTTCATAGTTTCAATTGATATAATAAAATTTGATTTATAGTCTATTTAATATAGAGAGTTGTGGTAAGTCTTGCGTGGAGGAACGTGGATGCACGTGTGAAGTTAGTACTAATGAGTTATAGTACAAAGGGTTGTAAAAATACCTATATTGGGTGATATACAATTCCAGAAATTTTAATCCGACAATAGACTCTCAGATCAGTACTTAAAATTATAATCAATCAATACATCGTATTCAAGTTACTTCTTCAAGCGTATAGAATCATAATAAATCAATATTTAATCGCTGTATTTGTACAAGCATTCCAACCATACCGTGCGTTTGAAAAACACGTACCTGTCTGCATTGACAACAACAGATGTTATTGAATGACTCACAAATATAAACGGGAAATAATTAAAAGCATTTAGATTCTTTGCAGGATCTAGCCAATGTTATCTAGAAGTAATCCTCGTCAGGCAAAGGCTAGAAAAAGAAGAAAGTGTAGGAAATATGAAAGAGAGAATTCAATTATGCGGCGAATACTGCTGCATCGTGGTATGTAAAGATTTTGCCAAAATTCCCAGACTGTTGTTCACTTGTACCATTTTGTCTCAATATATTAAATAACAAAGAACGTGTCTCGCGGAACATCTGCGCAACATTCTAATTTCCTTTTTATTGCCAATTACACAAGCTTTAAAGTTCTGTTTGGCAATCAAAAAGAGCTTTACAATCTTTCTTGCAGACATTATCCTGGGATATAGGCGTAATCCGCGAACGAAATGCAAAATTGAATTTTAATCTGCTGGCATAATGTATGGAAATTTTAATATTAATTTTCGATGATCCACAGTAGGTATATCCCTCAGGGCTGCGTGAGGTTTGACACTATCGTGCTTTATCTAGCCACCAACCTCATTACGTGTCCGTGCTATAGAATTTAAATGGCCAAATTAATATTCACAACACAACGCGAAAATTACCGGATTCACGCAATATCGTTGGCACTTGTGCTAAATTTTCATAATATCCGGGGGAATTTGGAACGTTTGCCCTAGTACATTAGTCATAAACAGCATTGTTTATTAGCTACTTGGTCTTCCCCTATGGGTGCAGAAAGGGAATCGATCGATTAATAGTCACGTGACGTAACTCAAACAAGAACTTGCATTTTACGATATTACAAAATAATGTACAAACCTGATATTAATTTCATTGTAATTAGTAAGTTTTGCCGTGACTGACGTGGAAAACCTACACCGGAGCCGTAGTATCTAATTACATTCCTTGTTAGAGCCAACAATAGTCTACAGTTTGAATTTACCCAACATTACTATAGGAAAAAAAACTACGTTTAAAAAAACCGACTTCAAAAACAAAAAAGTGTCAAATAACTAATTAAAATTGATATTTTAATAGCACTCTTACGTACGCGAAGCTAATACTTTTAATATTAATAATAAAACACTATCAATTCTATGTGCTACCTATTCATAGGCTTGAAGTCGGTGCCAAGCCTAATACATAATATAATAAGCATGATTACATGAGTACCTAAACTCGCCGGGCGCGTTTGAATTTATTTGTTAGGATTTAAGAAATTTAGTACCGATTTTCTAAATTGATGGCGTTAGCGTAGAATCAGAAGTCTATATGGTTTCGTTACCGGCGAAACTGTATATAGCTTAGAAAGATATTTGGATGAATTATGAATTCTGAGAGTTTTCTCGTACTTGGTTGTTAAAAGTTGTAGTAGGTAGCTGCGTTGTTAGTTGTGGAAATTTCGTCTTTTAGCAGTTAAACAGTCTTAATTCTCATTTAGTTTTATTCTGTTTAGGGCTTGGCACCGACTTCAAACCTATGAATAGGTAGCACATAGAATTGATAGTGTTTTATTATTAATATTAAAAGTATTAGCTTCGCGTACGTAAGAGTGCTATTAAAATATCAATTTTAATTAGTTATTTGACACTTTTTTGTTTTTGAAGTCGGTTTTTTTAAACGTAGTTTTTTTTATTTTTTTCTTTTTAGTGTCTGTTGCAAGTTCTTCTGTAAACTACAGTAATATTTTAAATATAAATTAACATATTGAATAGTATATATTTTTAAGTAGCTATGTGTAGGCCAACGAAAGGAGCCGCCCGATTAAAAAATATAGATCCCATGAAATGGGAAAGTTCTCATAATCATCATCATCATCATCATCATCATCATCATCATCATCATCATCATCATCATCATCATCAGCCATTTTAATGTTCCCACTTCTGGGACACAGGCTATCTTTCTAGAAAGGGAAAGTTCTTAACAATATAAATAAATTAAGTCCAAACACGAGGTAGCTCCTGTAAACCGTTGAGGAGTTCCCTAGACTGTCGTTCGTCTTCATCATCAGATCCCTAATGATAGTCACAATCCATCAAGATGTAAAGTTCTCATCAAAATGAATAAATTAAGCTCAAACACATGGAAGCTGCTATGAATCGTTGAGGAGTTCTCTCGACTGTCTCTCGTTTCCATCCGGAATTCCCTCGACGGTCATTGTCTCCATCATCAGGTAAACTGGTAGAGTTTTTATGATACATACCTACAGGTACAAAGTTTTTATCAATATAAATGAGTTAAGTTCAAACACGAAGTAGTTACTGTAAACCGTTCAAGAGTTTCCTGAGCTGTCCTTCGTTCTCATCATCAGACCCTTAATGACAGGTCGACTTCGACCTTCGTCAAGTTGTAGTGTTATTAAAGGCCTACTTACACATCATACAAAAAACCTACTCGCCCCTACAATTTTCGAAAGTTCCCCTCGGTTTCTCCAGGATTCCATCATCAGATCCTGACCTCATGACAATGGGACCAAATGGCAAGTATACCATATCGAATAAAAAAAGAATTTTGCAAATCGGTCCAGGCGTCTTCGAGTAATAGGTGTACATACATAAAAAAAAAAAAAAAAAAAAAATACGCGTCGAATTGAGAACCTCCTCCTTTTTTGAAGTCGGTTAAAAATAGCAGAGAACAGTTATGGGAGTCGTGCTTGAAGGTAGCTGTTTTACTTTTTCCAAGCACAACAGAGGCACAGAAGCGGAAATACCAGTGTAATGACAGACTTGCCCTCCGCAATTTGCTCGTTCGTGACCGCTCTAGGGCTCAGTGTAATAGCGAACTTTATTTAATCTGTGCTACTCATCACGCTCCGGTTCACGGGACTCGGAATATTTTTCAAGCGCTCTTGAAATATTCCCGCATTTGCAACGCGATTTTATATTTTTCAATATTCGTTGCTGATAGTAGCAGCGAATATTGGATTTCAGTTCAGCGTCGGGTTTCAAACGAATTGAAATTTGAAATGTCTTTACGGTTTTTTTAGTGTAAAGTATTTCACATCGGCAGTTATTTTGCAATGTTGAGTAAAGAAATCTAGGCAACAATTGTCTCTTATTATGATAATTCGCAGAATTGCCCTTTGCTGCACTATGTCGTCAGATTTAATTTTACTCAAGTAAATGGTGGTTTACAGAGATCTTGTTTTGTTCTTTCGAGAAGATTTCGTTACCACAATGGATTTAGCATATTTATAAAGATTGCCGATGCGTGCCTAGCTTATGAGCTAATACACTTTAGATTTAAATGCGTGCATAATGTACTCATACGTGCATTAAAAAGGCAGACGCTTTAAGCGGAATGTGACGATGAATTAAACATTATTCGCAATTCGCTTTCTTAATTCAATGTGGACATTTAAATAAATTATCTTGTCTTTATTTGACTGAATAGCTGCAGAGGTTGTAAGACAAAAAATACAAGGAGCGTGGAACACGCAGCTGCCCATGTTTTTATTTTAATTGCAATTTCGCAAGTTGATTATCAAATGAAGATTAGCGTAGCCGTTGTTTTAAGGGTGATTAGGCTCGTCATTTTTAACTTGTTTTTAGTTTACAATTCGTGCTTATCTTTAAAATGCTAATGGCTTTGGTATTTCGGCATGTAGCTGTGCAAAATTAGCCATGTCCAATTTATTCTAAAGGTGCACCCGAACCAAGCTTTTTTGGAAGAATTCGTTTCCAGGCAGATTTTGATTAACATGCATCTGCGAGTTTTATTGTATATTAAATAATTCTTCATAATCAACTAACATTTAAAGGCAACATGATTGGTTTGTCCCTGTCTTATTATTTTCCATTTCATTAATAACAAGATATTCAAATGCTATCTCAAGTACTTATATATTTATGAAGGTAGAAACGATTTACGATAGTTCCGATAAATGTGAAGATACATACTTCATGTTACTGACATTTTCCAAAGCAATAGTCATTTTTATGAAAGGCCAAGGCTGAATTATTCGGAAAGCAGGTTGCTTTGTTTATTACAAGAAAAGGTTGTAGCAGATTTAAATTTGTAATTTGACATAGTTTGAAAATTCTTAGAATTGTTTATGTTTTTGCTGCCGAAACGCAGTTTGGTCTTTGTGTTCGAAATTCGTTCTAGAACATTCAGATCTATAATATAATGTTGAAAACAGGATAGGAAAAGATAGTCGTAAATATACATTTAACACAGAACGCCATGACGGGCAATGGTATGCTAGCAGAGGATTAGCCTTTACAGTTTTTGGCGACAGTCAAAGACTTAGTTTTAACCTTCCAACCAAGGTAACTCGTGACACAATAGGTACGCGAACGCCGGCGTCCACTTGGGGTTTGATGAATTAAAGTGACATTAGTCGATTACATACCTAATTATCTACATACTTATATGTAGTTGGGAGAAATACTCGGTAATATTCACTCTTCAAAAACCGCGGGTAAAAGCCTCTATACCAAAAAATCAACATTCAAGACACCAAACACCGTTCAAAAAACATTCGTTAAACTTCTTGGAAACCGAATTCCGACACTAAACAACAATGTAACTTGCCTGTTCCAGATTCATAAGCGTGCACCTTTGATGCGTTTCCATACATAATGTAAGACACGCGAGCCCTGCACGATACCATTTGAATATTCAATCGATGCACGATGAACGATCCTTTGTTATCTAATTGTATAATACTGCATAATTATTATACTTAATCATCGATAATTATAAAATTATTGATACAGGGATTTTCGACTATTAAGTACTTACCAGCAATCGATTTTGATTGGTGATTGTGATTTTATAAATATCATGCTTCCTGTGAATTATAAGACTCATACAATCATTTATAACATTAGCGACGTTATTCAGAAGATGTCTGTCTGGATCAAATTGAACGGTGCACATAAAATGAATTATAAAAGTTAATGTACTACTAGCTACTCCCACGCGGTTTCACTCGCTGCACGGCTCCATTTGATAGTAGCGTGATATCTTATAGCCTATAGCACTCGGGAACATTGTAGCTATCAATAACTGAAAGAATTTTGGGAATCCGACCAGTGGTTCCAAAGATTTCCCCCCACATACAAACTTACAAACAAACAAACTAACTTACAAACAAACTAACTTACAAATTTTACCTCTTCATAATATTAGTATAGATTTAGGGAAGGTTTTCTCTTATGAGGTAGCAAATATTTTAACCAAATTTATTCTTATTTCCAGGCCATCAAATCTCCCAGCGAAATGCACAGAAGAAGCTCTTCGACATAAAGCCGAGCACGCACGGATGGTGGAGGCAGCCAGGCGGAGAGTGGAACGGGAGGCAGCCGCCAGGCACGCCAGGATGCAGGAATCATTGCGTCTGGAGGAGAGGCTCGCCAGGCATGCCAAGGAGTGGACACAGAATATACTGCCAGAGTGGAATAATACGTAAGTTACCTTTGATATGGACTACTAACTTTATATTTAGACACACACACATGAGCAAAGGGCTCTTCTCACACGGAGAAGGTATGATCATTAACCTCTCGTCTGCCGTATATAAGACACAATAGAAAACACATGCTCCAGCATTCCCCGGGTTAGTCCCCACGCTTGCTCAAGACGGATTGGCGATTTCACACTCATAACAAGAAATCATGAGGAAATCTGGACTTATATTCAGATTTCCTCACGATGTCTTTCTTCACTGTATGTGGTGTCTAAAATTAACTTAGAAAGTACATATGACTCGGAAAAAGGTATATTGGTATTTGTCAAATTTCGAACCCTCATTCATGAGAAGCTGCACCTTAACTCTCAGGTCACCACGATGTCTTATTAGTATTGTTATTCGTTAGTAATATTAGATACGAATTCAAATTTACACTGCAGAGCAAGTATCCGCTTGAAAAAGTCGACTGACCCTCGGATCTCGCTCCACTGAAGGAGGGAGAAGTCATTCAATAAAATATATCCTTAAAAATAAGTATCCTACCGTATTGGTGACGAGATTTTCCAAGTACTGCAGACGTTGTACTCGAAGGCATTAGGGGAACAATGAAAGCGTTGTGGGAAGTTCCCTCAAGTACTCACTTTATGCTTAGGTACTTAGGTACTTGTTATTTTTATCCAAAGATTTATTGAAAAGGGATGATGAAAGCTCTCGTCACCCCTCAATTTGTGCGAAATGAAAATACGATAGCGGTATATAGGATATAGGTATGTCGCAGGCACACTGTGCCGTACTACATTACCTCTAGGTGTTTGGTCAAAAACAGGGCAGTCTTGAAATGCGGCGGTTTAACAAAAGCTGGATTGAATGTGGCTGAATTGTATTTGTTGCCATATGTACGACTGCAACATACGTAGTTTACACGCTGATCTTTTAAGTTTCCAATTCTACATATTTGATTTAAAAGTCAAAGGTTGTTATTACATAAAAAACATGTAAAAGGTCTTAGAGTTTAAACAGTGAAAATAATTATTGTACCACATTTCTACTGCAAAAATACTTGTTTGTATACCATTCCGCATAGCTATAGGTACGATCAGTGCTACTGGCCTTAATTTCTTGATTGCGGTTTACGCGTGAAATACCAATTAAATGCATTAATTACCGATAGTCGTTTACGTAGTAGATATGTTGTCACACCAATCAAAATATTCACCAATAATTTACAATCATTTAAAGGCCATTAAAGTTATCTCTTATACGAGTTCTTACGGAATAATTGTTTGAGATTGACAAATTACAACGGTAATTTGGTAAAAGGAATTTTAATGTAAAATAAATGTCTTTAAATTTAAATTCCTTAATTAAGTATAACTTTTAAAAAGCAGGGTTTAAAGGTTAAAAAGATACTATGAAGATATAACATACTTATATTTATATTTAGGCAAAATGTAAAAGAACAATAATAGTCAAAAATTAATCAAACAACTTCTCTTCCAGGAAAAATTCAAAACGAACTCTAGAACTTTGGTGGAGCGGGCTTCCTCCAGCGGTTCGCGGCAAAGTATGGCAACTGGCGATCGAGAATAAACTCAAAATCACACACGACATGTACCAAGACTACGTAGCGAAGGCCAAGCAGAGGTTACACGAAGCACAGCTCAGGAGAAAGCGGTTAAAAGTCAACAGAAACGATACATGTAGCTGCCAAAAAGAAAAAGCCACAGAACAGAAGGAAAAACTTGGCAAAATAGACGACATCTTAGCCAAAACCGACGACAGAATAAAAACTGATGAAGAAAAACCACGTTTAGGCATACCACGGAATTACAGCGAACAGAATCTCAAGTCCCAAGCCACTGATGCAGGGCCACAGAAGTGCTGTTCGAAATCCAACCCTAATCTCTTAGATTATAGTGACGAATGTTCCATGGAGTTGATACAGTTGGATATTGCGCGGACTTTCCCCCACTTATGTATATTCCAGCCCGGGGGACCATACTTTGATGTGTTGCATGAGCTGTTGGCGGCGTACGTGTGCTATAGACCTGATATTGGATATGTTCAGGTGTGTATAAGAAGTTCTTTAGAGCAAAATAGTTTCTTCAGATTCAGTTCTCAGATTAACCTTTACAACTTCTGTAAAAATGTTGTATTACTAATTACATATCTAAAATTACTTGGGCTCGCTTCTTAAAATATAAATAGTTTAAGGACCGCAAAATTAAAAAAAACTTTAAGAAACAATGAATAGTGCGACTTTGCTTAACGTTATGGTAATCGACATGTTTATGACGTTCGACTCGCTGATTGGCCTGTTCCTACGTAACTAACCAATCAGGGGGCTGCATTTCGATCGTTTTACCGTAGGTACAACAAATTTATATTAGGGACTAGTCTGCCGGGATTGCGGGTGCAAGCGTCATAATATACCACGGCGACGACCTGAAATAGAATTAATGAGTTTGAAACTCCCTTTCTCTCCAGAGATCTCCTTGATGATTTCTACCCTCAAAAAAGGAGCTCTAGTCTTGAAGATTCTCTAGTCTTGAATTGCAAACAAAGTATTAATAGCTACATTATACATGATCATAATATTTTAACGGTAAGTTGCGTGACCCATCAGCCCGCATGCATTGCTATTTGTCGGTAATGATTACGTGATAACAATGTATGTGATACGCCATACGCGTGATACTATGTACGGTAGCGGGACTTTGTATTGCATTGTGGATCTACAATTCTTTTTAAATACTTTGTTTAGCACTAATCTCTAGTTTTTTATTTTTATTATTATCTTTAAAGACGTTGCCCCGCACCAGGAGTTTTCTCTTGGGTGCGTTTATACATATACAATTTCGCATAAACATAACACCAACAAAAATTTGATTGTGGATCACACTAAGAGTTCTTGCTCGCACGGCAGATAATTGCGCAGCCTTCATGTCAACTGTGCAGTCGATATCTCTGTAATAGAAGGCCAAGATTGGCTAAACTGGGTGTTTGTTATCATGGTGTTTTAGTAGTCGAAACTGAGATTACTCAGTTGTCGTGTACAAAGATAAAAGGCCGATTTAATAGCTGGGAAAACTGGATTAGGTCTGCTAGATTTTGTTTTTATTTTCTCAGTAATTAATATATTTTTGGCAGAAGTCTCGCACCTTTTATTAATTTCGGTTTATAACTAGATAAATGTGGATGTTCTGTAATCTGTACTTACTTACCTTTTGATGACGATGATACTCTCAAAGCCTTAAATAAAATCAGTCATACGGTCATTTAATTTTATTTGATTACGGATTTCTTAGCATAGGCTACAGAATTGTGAACTAAAATAGAAATTTTTAAAATGTTAATTTTACAGGGCATGTCATTCATAGCGGCAGTGCTGATCTTGAACATGGAAGCGCCTCAAGCATTTGTCTGTTTCGCCAACTTGTTGGACGGGCCTGTGCTTAGGGCCGCCTTCACCAGGGACGGAGCCACAATGCAGGTGTGTTATATTTACAAGACATAGGTGCAAATATACGTTTCTGCTTTTTATAATCGTTTAATGACTTCTTACGCTCTGGCTGAAGCCGCGATACATTATTATTGCGTTGTGTTTCGCCAACTGAACGAGGTTACTGGAAGCCCAAAACTTGTGTGCCCACCTTTTTTATGTGATATGTCGGCAAACGAGCAAACGGATTACCTGATGGTAAGCAATCAGCGCCGCCCATGGACACCCGAAAAGACAGAGGAGTTACGAGTGCGTCGCCGACCTTTTTAGGGATTAGGGATTCGAATATTTAAGGATTGGAAAGGGATGGGGAGGGGGAGGGATTGGGCCTCCGGTAACCTCAATAACACGGCAAAACACAACGCTGTAGTTGTTTCACGCCGGTTTTCTGTGCGGCCGTGGTATCACTCCGGTCGTGCTGACACATTCGTGCCTAGGCTTGGCTCTCCCATACTTCATTATTCACTTCGTTATTCCATAAAACTCCTGCAAAACCAAAGGAAAACTAAATTATTACCAAGAAAATCTGTAGTTGTGTAAATTGCAAAAAATATCAAAATCTTAATAATTTTCCAGCGACTTTGGAAAGCGTACACGACGTTACTGCGTCACAACCTCCCGTCTCTGGCCGACATCGTGGCCCCCGAGCTGTATCTCCTCGAGTGGCTTTACACTGCATTCGCTAAAGCAATGCCATTGGACGCCGCCTGCAGAGTCTGGGATGTCTTCCTAAGAGACGGAGATACCTTCCTCTTTAACACAGCTCTTGGTAAGTTTGAACTTTATACCTGTTGTTTTAAAGTACATTATTGTTATACGTTTTGCTGGTTTTAGAAAAGTATTTAAAAAACTTAATGCGCCCATGATAGACATAGGAGGAACAAAAATAAGGAGGACTTAATGTTATTTGGCATTCTGTGCCACTCAATCTTAGTCTAGTGGAGATTCAGAGAAACTAGGTTTGTGTAAAGATAAAATAGCAGTGTTACTTAAACTTTACTAGAAAATAACTCATTTTGCACCTTAACTTTTTCGCCAGAATCAATAAATTGCTTAATTGATCTACTCAGGCTAACAGCCAGATATTATTTTTATTTTTTCAACTAAACTAACTCACTTATTTCACATTCCAGGCGTCCTCCACTTATACCAAGATGAGTTGAAAGACATGGACTTCATATCTGCAGCCCAATTCTTAACTAAACTACCAGAGGATTTGGACACAGAAGCTCTCTTCAAGAGCATATCTGCCGTGTCCTTGACCTTAGATGGGATGTCGTTTGAGGAGCTAGCTTCCTGCTGCGAAGTCGACACGACTCTCGATGATGACGTCACGGTAAGGTTATGATACAAAAAGTCGTTTAATTTCATTCTTCTAAGAGATATCGTTGATGCCCTAACCTTAAAAGTAGGTTTATAGTTCTGTAAAATGGTAACACTGAAAGTATTTTTGTAGATTTTTTTAAGTTGTTGGCAATACAATGTGTTTGAAATCATGTAAGTAATTTTTTGATTTGCCTATTATATTTAGTGTTTTTGATTTTTATGGACATTTTAATTGCCGATGGGTCTTGCTAATTCATTTTAAAGAGTTTTTGACAGAAATACTGACACGAACGTAGTGAAGTTGAAAAATCTACTCAAAATATTTTTTGTGTTAGAGAGGTTAATTCTTGCTCATTGGTATAAAGCGGTGATGTTAAAGAAAACGAAGAACTATAAATATCATCATCTAGTAATTCATATAAAATATTTAATTTAATTTCGTAGCGATTTTTCATGGATTTATTATTATATTATAATAAAGTAAAATAAAATCGTGTTGTACTGTGACGTGTCATTATTTATAAACATTCGTTTTTTGTATAAGTTATTTCTATAATTTCCAAATGTAAATAAAATTAGATATTATTTTCAATTATATTAGAAATTACATCTTTTTATATATTTTAATGTTTTGATTGATTTATGTGAAATATTCGAATTTATACATATTGAAACACGCGACTGGCCGTGAAAGTGAAATCTCATACAAGATTTACAAGAATCAAGTAATGAGACTTAATACCTCGTCTCCGAATTTATTCGATATAACACGAATTTCTGTGATTATATAATCTAATTGATTTTAAATTATATTAACGGCTTCCTTATTTTTTACCATTTTCGAGCATGCTCGACTAGTCTCACGTCATACCGGGGCTCATAAAGACAAACGTGTGGCTTGAAACCAGTCGAGTCGAGAACACTTGAGTTACGAAAGCCGTTTATATTATTTAAACTAAGTATATCTCACGATAAATATTAAAAGAAAACTTAAATTCAGTGTTAATTAAACCGGAGCGTGTAACGAGCATATCATAATGTATGTTAGTTCTAATTAGTCACTTGAAGTTCTGATCTTGAGGTTGTGGGACTTTAGATGAGGAATTATATACAAAAGAAAGCCTTTATTTTGCTGATAAACGCAAAATATGTCACAAGTCAGTCTGGACATCAAAATCGTCATCACTCACAATCAAAATAAGATCAATAAACACGGTGCTGCAAGAATTATAGCATTTTGATCCCTATTCTTAACATATTTAGTATGCAAATTATTATGCAGAGATTTGCAGTTTTCTCTGTAGCTAACATGATGCAAAGGACAATTTTCATAGTTAGGATATGACGGTGTTTAATAATATCTACTAAATAGAGTTTATCAGCAAAGTAACGGACAATTCTAATATTATTTTTCGTATCTGCGACAATTTTATATCATTATTTATTGTTATTAATAAAATAAATGTTGCAATTGTCTTGTTGATATGCCGCTGCGACTGCTCGCGCTAAAATGTATGCAACACACCCAATTTAGGCTTAAATTCTAGTGAAAACCTTTTATTAAGTACTTTGTTCATCTTTTGTTGGTAAAAAGCGTGGGCAGTTGCAGCTATCTCCATTTCTAGTACCTGTTTCTCTAAAGTTAACTTCAAATTAGAATTGTTTAAATACTAACTGAAATCAGTCTTATTCCAACAAAACTTCTTAATGAAAATAACCTATGTATACATGGGCAATACACAAAATCCAAGTTAGGTAAGAATTCAGGCGATTTTTTAATCGATTTTCAACGTTAATATCTTTTGGATTGAGTTGAAAATCTGTTAAGTTCTGAGTAAACAACCGATTAACAACCTGTATACATGGGTAATATACCGGTTCGGTTAAGTCATCAATCTTTAATCGACTTTTAACCTTATACCTCTTGTAATTGAGTTGAAAATCTATTGAATTCTGACTAAGCAACCGATTTTTGTACTTCCAGTTCCATCAAAGCTATTGTATGTTTTGAAAATGTCCTGTAACTAAAAGTTAATGTTTAAAAAATAAGACTGTATGCTATTCGATATTCATAACTATTCTCATGAAAAATATTAATTCTCCAAGTTAATAAGTCTTTTAATTTTTAACATAGTTTCACAATTAGAAAACGAAAACATTCTCGGATAAATTAAAAAAAAAATCGGTAGTAAAGGATGTTTATATTATATATTTTTATTAATATTTTATAATTTTATTGTTACATTATATATTTACTTTGATGTAAAATCGTTTTTTGTGTGAAAATATAAGTGTATAATATAATAAAATAAATAATTGTAAGTATATGAAACTACGCGTATTCAAGCAATACGATATCACATATTTATTATGTGGTATGTTGTAGATTTCTAGAGTAATTAATAATATCATATTTTCCAGTAAGCTTATCCGTAGAAACTTGAAACTGATTCATAAAATTACATTCTATCAAGCTGATAATTCTTTATTTCCCAAACGTAATATGTATAGCTAACTTCACAAGTTATTAAGAATCTTACTAAACTTAACTTTTTAAAGTTTTTAGTAAAATTCAATGAAAAATCTAATTCTGAGAATTGTCTAAACCTCTAAACCTGATGTTATATAGTTCTGATTAGTTCTGATAAACGCAAACACATTATCAATATTTGAAATTTAAATGCAAATAAATCTTCATTATCAATTAATACATATTATCAAACGAAAATAAAGTTTAATTGTATATAAAATAAATAAATAATAACAATTAATTATTACAATTATCATAATAATTGTATGTCAATTATATCTTATCTTAATATAATAACGTTTTAGTGGCGGGCGGATAGGTTTAATAGTTTATTTTTTCACCATAAATTTTTATTTATTTCGTGCATAGTTATCATATTATTGCAGAATTACTGAAATCATATCATAATTTTAAATGCTTGTAACTCCTTAGTCCTTAACTGATGAACGAGATATTGGAATAGATTTAAGCCATGTCAGTTGACGCGCTTTCTGTTCATGATCATGGGCTCCCGGTGCTGCTCGAAATTATTCACTTAGGTTTTAAACCTAATCAACATAATATTTGCATTAAAAAGAATATTATTATCATCATTCTCCTCGCGCCACTATAATGTTGTATACTACTTATAAATATTATTATTATTAAACTATTATCTATGAATAACAAACAACGAGTAGTAAACCGGCCTAATAGTTAGTGAACAAGTATCGAAACATTCGAGAAATTATATTTAAATATTATATTAATTATTATTACTGACTGCCTCGTAACTCGAGGTCGGCCAAAGTGTAATTAAGTTTGACGATTTTCGAAAAATCTCAGTAAATAGCAAGTAAAATGGCAATATGTTTGCCGCCTATTATATGGGACTTAGTTAAAACTTAAACTTAACTGGCAACAATAGATTTAATAGAGATATAAACATGTATATATAAAAATATACCGGATGCTTAGATGTGCTTCAAGTTGAAATTAGTTTTTTATATTGAACAGATATGTATTGTATATATGGAAAAAATTAATTGATATTTTATGAATCTACTGACCTACCTTTAATATCAGAACATATATGCGCCTGCGCAGGCTCTTTCGTTTAGCTTTGGAAAGATAGTACTGTCACGTTGGCACGCATGCGCACTGTCGTTTATATCAAGTCATTGCAGAAAATAAGCTATTATTGTATATAAATACGTATAACAATAATTCGCGAGCAGAAAAAAAAAATGTAAATTATCTCTTTACTTTCTCAGTTTGAAAATACATTGAAGAAGTTTTTTACTCAAAAATTTTTTTTTACTCAATTTATAGCAAAATATTTTTACGTTTTTTATCAAAGAATTTAATATATTTTTGTAAGAGGTGTCCCCAAGACGAAAGTATTTTGCAAATTAATCATTAAAAATTCTTTTAAACACGAATATGCATTTTTTTATAAATTATATATATGTCTGTTATTATATTATAGTATATACAAATGTTATATGTATGTTAATATAGGTTATATTTTAATACAACTAGTAATATTCTCTTGCCACGTGAATATAAATAAAATTAGTCATAATTGTGTAAATAATAATAATTCTATAATTATTATTAGAAAAGGAATCTGTGATTGTTAGATTCCATGTTTACTTTTTTGTATGATTTTACTTTAAATTTGTTTTATTTGTAATGAATGTAAATAAAATACGTATAGATATTATAAAGTGAATAATAAAATTATATTTTTTCTTAAATATTACTTTCATATACTTATACTGTTCATGTCTAAATGTATAGATAATACATCAAATATATATTTGTGAATACCTAGAATAATTACAAAACAAATTAGAAACAACTTGACATCCTTTTCTATCGATTTTCTGCATCAAGAATCTCGCTGAAAAATTAAAAATATACTAAATTCCATAATATTAAAAAATAAATGAATCTTTTTGTATCAGATTTGATTAATTTGTAGGTTATTTAATATGTTATAAAATATAAAATATCAATCATAATTTTTATTAATGTTTCGCGTACTCTGGTAATGTTTTCAAAGTTTCGCTATGTCAAGAATTGCCAAAATGTTTGTATTCTGTCATTCTTCTCTATTATAAAAAGCTTGCAAACTTGTAATATATTAGGTAGTTATAACATTAACTAAAATATAAGTAAACACTACCAGAGTATGTCTACATTATTTGTAAGAGCTGACATTGATTTGTGACTAGAATTTCATTTTTTTTTTATGAAAGGTCTATTTCAAAGTTACAGTTGTCTTCTTAATAACATATAATATATTTGATATTATAAAATCTGTATTAATTTCATTCCTCATGCTTCTCTCTGGCATACTTTGAGTCCTAGATCGAGTATCTATCTTCATTCAAACAAAAACAGTTATAGAGTTTTTGTTTTTATTCGATCTAGGTGGCGCTAGTGTAGCTTAAAGTCCTAATGGGATTTAAGCGCATTAAATGACACGAAATCCTTCATATTCTTATAAATTTTCATCTCAATCACAATTTATTGTTAAAAATACTTTTTTGGAAATAACATCTTGTATTTGTATTGTACTTTTAAATTGTGTCATTTCATTGTATCCAGTGTTTGGACCTATACTTAAACACTTTTTAATAATTTTGTTCATAGTCTCAAACAAC